ATGTAAGTCCTAAATGTTTGTGAATGGATGACTGCACCCATGTTGCAAGGCCTAGTTCAGTATGCTGCCCTTGAGGAAGCTGCCCATAACTCCCTCTGTGAATAAAAAGACTCCTTCCTAAGCTCCCCACACAGACTCTTGCCCCTGTCCCCTTATTTCATGGTGCCAGACTCTAGGTCCTGGCTCGGGATGCTAATAACCCATCACACGCCTTTCGGCTGCAGACTGTGTGTGCCTCAGTTCTACTGGCCTCTGGGATCTGACAGGTGCTCTGTTAATGTTCCTGGATGCCAGTACACAGATGCTTTTGCTCTGCTCAACAATTAGGATTGCATGCTTATTCCTATAAATGATGGCAATTAAGATTGCATTTGTAGCATTAAACCAAATTTTAGCTTTTCATAACTGAGTGCCGCCATCCATTCTGACACCATTTGCCTTCGTGCCCCTTTCTGTCAGCAGTGACAAAGCACTGTGCCAGAGGAATCGTGCGTGCCGCTCCGCGCACCCTGGCTGTAGTTGTCCTTGGCTCTGTACCTTGGGGCAGCTCGTCTGGCCAGGGCAAAGCCTGCGCTGTCCCCTTCCAGCTGCAGCTCCTGTCCCAGCCTTGCCCACTTCGTCCAGGAGTAAGTCCTCAGCTTTCTGCCAGCTGTGCTCACCCTGCTTGTCTCTATTAATGCTCGAGGGAAAGAAGAGGCAGGCCTAGAAGTTAATCTGGGGAGAGGAGAAGGGGGAGTCTGGACAAAACAAAGCAAGACGTGGTAGAGTCTTCTGGAGCCGGAAAGGAGGTGGACGTCAGCCGAGTGCCTGAATGCGTCCGCCACGTTCCTGTCCTCACTCCTGCGGAATCTCCCGGCAGCTCTGTGAACTCCGCACGTCATTACTTTTCCTGTGAATGGAAACTTGAGAGTCGTGGAGGCTGAGCACCCCATGATCAGAATGGAGAAATTTGAACCTAGGACCCTGGCCATGAAAACCAAGGTTTTGTGCTGTGTTCTGCCCCACAACACAAATTTTAGGAAGAGATTCTTTCAGGAATATGTAGGACTCGGGAATAAAAGTTGGAAATGGGATGAGTACTCTAGCTGAGATGTAATAAGTTGATTTCAGCAGAGGTATGGGGTGGAAAGGAAGCCAAGCCGAAACCTTTGTCTCTTCTCATTCAGCCTTGACATCCCTTAAATACTAGTAGCGAATCAAATAACAGAAGCACCAGCACACTTGTGCCTACTGAAGAATGGGCAATCACAGGCCATCTGTTAAATTATTTATTTTCAAAACTTGTGAAAAAGGTTTCATTTTTATTTATTTATTTTGGCCGAACCAGGGATTGAATTCAGGCCCTTGTACTTGCCAAGGAAGTGCTTATTCCACTGAGCCATCTCCCTAGCCCAAAAAAGGTAAAAAAAAAAAAAAAAAAAAGCAGTTTATCTGATCAGTTATTTTCAGCTCTTCCCATATCCTAAACTGAGTGTGTGTCCCAGATCCAGCTCTTCTAAGGTACTCCTGAAGGGAGAGCAGGCGGTGGTGGTTATAACCCTTCCTGGCCACTCGGGGGCAGCACCAAACAGGACCGGTTGCTCTTGGCTGTTCTGTTCTTGGGAAGAAACCCTACTGGTTCCCTGGTGGAGCTCAGAATTCCCTTTGCTTCCTTCTTCTTTGGCCACAGAAGTGGTAGTGATACTTTTCCGCTCAAAAAGTAAGTTAAGTAAATAATATCTGCAGAATTGTGCAAGAAAGGTGGCTCTAATGAATTCATTATCATGCGAATATGGTTTGAGCATGTTTCCTTTTGATCATTGTGACAAGGCAGTGCCCTGAGTGTTATGGATGGTTGGATGATTCATAGTTCTTAGCCCAGAAAGATACTCTTCAGATTTTCTGAGCTTGTTTAGGTTGAAATCCATGTGTTCCAGAACTCTAGGGCAAAAGACAGCCCTGTTCTTTTCCTCTTTTCTTTTTTTAGTATGTGCGCTGCCGAGCTGAGCGCATCTTTTCCCTTTGATGTCGCTGATGGTTCTTGTGAATGATCACAGGTTGGAGATGGGGGCAAGTGTGGTCCTGGCTTCCGGTTTTAAGAGTCTGTGATGTGACCCTCCCACAGTGATCCTGTCCTAGGGCGCCCAGCAGGGTCCCTAGGATGTGGGCTGAGAGCAGTGTCTGCCCATACCAAACCCTTTCCCATGTCAGCATACCCCAGAACCCCGAGGCTGAATTCACTGTGATTTTTGATAGGTTCTGGCTCTAATATGAATTGCTGAATCAATATGGTGGTCATCTAATATGGCTGACGCCCTTAAAACAAAAGCCCATCTTCCCCAAGACCACCTCCCCCCTTCTCCAACTCCGCCCAGGGTGCAGTTTCCTTTCACCCTTCCTGCCACCTCAGAGAAGACCCCCCAATCAGCTCCCCAGGTATATCTAAACATCCCCTCCAAACTCCACCCCTGGCAAAGGCCATAAAAGCCTCAGCCTCCCTTTGTCCAACTCCAGAGAATTCCTCATCTTCCCCAGATTCAAAGATAATAAAACCCCTTTCCCTTTTTCCTTCTGCCCATTTCTCTGCTGCACTGGGATCTTGAAAAAAACCTATCAGTTTTGACCTAAGATACACATCTAATTTATTTGCCATCACAGAACAATTGTGCCAAGCAAAGGGCTGCTCCTGTGTCCGAATAACATGCATGAACTAAATCTATCTGTCATGGGGGAAAACCGAGGCTTGTGGTCGCCCTGTCGCACGTACTCCACCCCTGTTGTTCTCCCCTTTTGCTGATGCCAGCTAGGATGTGTGGGCACCGTACATATCTGCCCGTTCAGTAAGTGCTCACAGCTTTTCTGTATGTACGTCAAGTTCTTACCCCACCTTGTATCACTGTCTCCCCATAACCATCCAGTGTTGTTGTCAGTGTTGTCAGTGTTGCTAGTCCCACTTTTATAAATGAAAAACCTGAGAACTTACATTAAGTGACTTCCTCAAGGTCACAATATCTGTAAAACAGAGCTAAGACTGGAATTCAGGCTGTCCCCTCTCTTGAGCTATAGATGCTCTTGAGCTATAGATGCTGTGTTGTAGACTGCTGCTGAACCTTCTTTGCAGGCCTCACCTGAGGTGACCCACTGTCCCTCTAGGGGGGTCTCAGAAGCACATGACCCAATGGTCAGGGAAGCCCAGAGCCCTGCACACTAGCTTTGCCCTTCACTCAACTTCTTCATCTCTGAAATGACTATGCCGACTTGCTGTCATTGAGCTGAGGGGGGGTGAGCGTAGGAAGAGGGCCTGCTTTTCTTTGATGTGACTATGTTTGCCTTTTTTGTGCTATTAAAGTAGTATTAAAGTGGTAATGTAAATGAATGTCCTCAGAGTCAGGAGAGGTCAGCTTCTTTTGGAGAGGGGAGGGCAACAGCAAGGTCAGAGTAGGGCCGAGTGAGTGGGCGGGGCCTGTGTTGGGAGCCAGGAGCCCACAGGCCACGGGGGCTCCTCAGGACTTTAGTAGAACTGTGAGGCGTGCTGGGGTATGTGCCAGGCCAGCTGCTGTAGCTGCCTGGAGACACAGTGTAGCCCGGAGCTGAGGATGCTGCAGTGGCTGGGATCCCCGCACTGAGGCATTACCCAGTCTTCCCTGTGGGACTTGAGGTTCAGCGTGTAAACTGCTTCCTGGGCTGCTGCTGCTGTCTCTGGCACTTCAGTAAGGTTCCCCTGACAAGGAATGATTGGCAGTTTGGGAAGGAGGTGCCCAGACCGACTATGTGGCTGGAGTGGAGAGTAACAGTGGATTCAGATTAGTCACATGAGGACAGCTGACCCCATTTCTTCTTTTTTTATTTTTCCACGTTTGCTTTGGAAATGTTATACACAGTGCTTGGGGAGCCATCCTTCAGCTCCCAAGGAAGGTAGGGCTGCACACCTGCCCCTGCTATCCCAGGAAAGTGATCTCTGCAACCGATGTGCTGCTTAGAAGGGCCCTGGGAGAGATAAAAGGCCATCCCATCGGGCCAGCCCTGTGACCATGGCAGGCGTGGCAGCCTAGTCCCCCCCGGCTCTCACGTGGACCAGGGATTTTGCCTTGCATGTCTTTGCAGGGGCCAGCAATACAGCTCAGCGCACAGCGCCTGCCTGATAAACACAAGGTTGTGGGTTTGCTGCCCAGTACATAAAGAAGAAGAAAAAAAGGCATAGTCTTTGGATATTTGATTTGTTCCAGTAAGCATATAATGCTTTTTGACTGAAAGGAAGGATCCCGGAGCAACCTGCTTGGGTCCCCCGTTTGTCCTTCTCTCAGATAGACGCTTTCCTTCCCCCAATAAATATCCTACTCTTAACCTAAAAAAAAGAAAAAGAATTAAAGAGAGGCAGTGGATAGCAGAACTTGAAAAAGGAAGCTCGGGGCCTCACCTCAGAGAAAATACCCCTTAAAGATGGAGAGCAAGTGGGCTCCTGCAGCATCAGGGCTTGGTACACCCAGAGGTGCTTCAGGACGTGGTCTTCTACCATGTGCTGGTTTACCTTGGGCCTGTGTGGTGCTTTCTCGCCATTTCTTCTCTTTCTGCGTGTTAAACCTTGTGCTTTGTTACTCTTATGAACGACTGCCCTGCCTGGACTTCATTCATTCTCTATCCTGTTTTCTTTTCCTAGCTGCTTAGCAGGTCTCATGGAGTTGCATTTCTTACTACTGGGGAAAAAAGAACCCACCCTAACATAGACCCTGGGAGCCTGAAAGGTTTTTGTGCCCCCGAGTCCTATAATAATAGTGCACCTAGTATTCTAAGAGGGAAAAAATCTAGATACACAGCACAAAGTAAGCAAGGACATCATCCTGACACTTTTTATAGCAAAAAGTACTCCCAATTTCACTTTCCAACAATAGAGGATTTGTTAGCCACGTTAGTGGATCAAACCCGGTGAGACCCTTGAGGGTGTGTTGGCCACACCCTGTAGAGCCCCGGGGTTTCCGAGTGACTGCTGTGGGCTCACTTCCGCCTTCTGCCTTGTCTTCCAGTGCTTTGCCGTGCGGTCTCTGGGCTGGGTGGAGATGGCGGAGGAGGACCTCGCTCCTGGTAAAAGCAGTGTGGCTGTCAACAATTGCATCAGGCAGCTTTCGTACTGCAAAAATGACATCCGAGACACAGTGGGCATTTGGGGCGAGGTAAGTAGCTGTGCCTGTAATTCATGACTGCCGGCCCCGGTTCCCCACCCGGAGCCTCTTGGGGCATAGTAATGCTGGTCTCCGGGTGGTGGGGAGGCTGTTTCCCCGTACAGGCAGACAGGTCCCCATGGTGCACCAGGGTGACTGCTGTCCACGCTGCCTCGTCCATGTGAGGACTGAGGGGTCCTGTGCAAGCATTTCTCAGAGCCCCCAAGATCCTCTGGTGCTCAAGGTCTGTGGCTAAGTTTTAGGATCCTAGAGGCCTCTGAATTTTGTGTGCAACATTGTTGTGCTGGGCTCTTTAGGACAGTGTTCTTGGAAAGACTCATTGCTCTCAAAGTACATTGTTTTTGTAGTTTGTTTTTGTCTCTGGCAGTACTGGGGGTGAGCCCAGGGCCTTCATACTGAGCCGCATCCCCAGCCCTGTTTTTTTTTGTATTTGTATTTTTGTGTTGAGACAGGTTCTCACTGACTCGCCAGGTCAGCATGAGCCTCAGCCTGCCAGAGTCCCAAGTGTGTTCCTCAAAGGAAGCTGTGGCTTCCATGCACACTAGTAAACAAACATCGAGGCCCCAACTCCTTTCGTAGCAGCCTTCTTTATTTATAGTCCAAAAATCAGCGTTACATGTGAGTTGCGGAATTGATGCCATGTATCGCCTTTCACTGTCCACAAAATGATTCCATTTTGAAAGGTTAGCTGAAATAATTTCAGAACAGGAAGTGTAAAAATCACATCCAGCAGGAAAGCCACGTTCCTACCATGCTTGAGACCCAGGACTTCGGGTGCCTAGCATAGTGCCCGTTGCCGCAGACAGCCCGCTCTGTCCGTGTCTCCCCCTTAGCAGGGCAGTGGGAGCGGATGTCTGCTTCAGGACTGGGCTGCAGCAGTTGGAGGTGGCTTCCCAGCCCGTCCTGCAGAGCTGAACTGCTTTGCTAGTCAGACTTATAGGTCCCCAGTGTGGGGAGAAAGGAGAAAAGATTTTCTTCTACCCAAGAAAAACATTGTACTCTTTTGGTGTTTGACTGTAACATCCTTTGACCACGAGACCCCAACTCTCCTCCCAAATACCCACGCCTAAGTGACCCACCTCTGGTCTCCCCTTTATTAAGTCTGGGAGGAGGCGGCCGTGATCTGGGCTCCGTGTGGGTGCCTGGCCCTGGAGGTGCTGGGGTCTGAGGTCGAGCACTGTGGCTGCAGGCTCTGTGGGGCCACCTCAGCCACGTCTGTCTGGAGTAGCCTTGATGCCTGCCAGTGGCTTCATCCATGATTCACTTAGCCTTTTGGGAAGCAGTTTTAGATCTTGCTGCGTCTCAGCTGTAACCACTGCTGCAGCTTAAATACTGTCTGGCAAAAGCACTGAAATACCATTCTCTTCCACCCTGAGCATCACAGCTGAATTCATTCTGAGACCCTTCAATAGGAGTCTAAAACATCATTGTCAAGGGCTTTCCTATGGACTTGGTGGCACATGGCTGTAATCCTAGTACTCAGGAGGCTGAGACAGGGGGATCGCAGTGAATTTGAAGCCAACCACCTGGACTACATGCATAGTGAGACCCTGTCTCAAAGAAAGAATAAATGAAGGAACTTGCCCAGACAGGAATTGGTTGATCTGTCTCTATTTGGGATTCGGTGGCCCACCAAGAAACCTCTCTGTGCTGCCTAAGGGCTACTCAGGAAAGGAATGAAGTGAAATAGTCTCGTCCTTCTGTCCTCAGAGGGAGGGCCCACACCTGCGGGGACACGTGACTCCACAGCTTCCAGCCCAGAATTGCAGCACAAAGGCTGAGACACCAAGGCGCTGCCCCTTCTCAGTGACATAGCAGCACCCAGCACAGCTTGAGTCAGACCTCGGGCTGGTCACTTAACCACTCAGCCTCAGCTTCCCTGAGTGTTTGATAACAAAGCAAATTCTTCCTGGATTAGGTAGAGAGTGCCTGAACCAGGGCACCTCAAGCATCCAGCATCCCTGCGTATAATACACAAGCATGTAAATGTGGCCCAGTAGCACGGAGAAATGCCCAGAGCCCTGTTGGCTGGCTGCCAGCGGCACTACCGGGCACAGCAAGACGTGAGGGTAGGGGAACAAGGGCATGGCTCTGGGGCTGCAAGACCAAGGGGGTGCCTGAGAGGGTCCTGAGGATGGTGGGAGAGAATGGTTCTCGGGTTCTGCTGGGCAAGGCGTGCAGAATAGATCCTCCAAGCCTCCACATTCACCTTTCTTCTTAGAAATTCAGATATGTAGGGGCCGGGGTGATGGCTCAGTAGAATAAGCGCTTGCCTGGTAAGCGCAAGGGCCTAAATTCAATCCCCGGTTCTGCCAAAAAAAAAAAAAAAAAAAAAGAAATTCAGATATGTAAATAACTAAAGTAAGAGCCAGGCTGGGCATGATGGTACACACCTATAATCCCAGCACTTGGGAAGCTGAGGCAGGAGGATCACCATGAGTTCGAGGCTAGCCTGGGTTACAAAAGTGAACTCAAGGCCAGCCTGAACTACACAGTGGGATCTTGGGAAGGAAAGGAGGGATTGAGGGTGGGCAGGCAGACGGGCAGGTGGGCAGGCAGGCAAGCAGGCGGGCAGGCAGGCAAGCCACCTAGAAAGCAGCTGGAGACACATTTCAGAGGACTCAGAGAACAAGAGGGCTGGGGACATGAGGGGTGGAAAAGATGGGTGACGATTTTAGTCCAGAAAGGGTGTCTCCCTACTGGGAACACACATTGTAGACCCATGAGTGACCACTTTGGGGTGCTGACAGTACCCCAAGGTGGCCACACACGTGGCTGGGGTGTGGAACCTGTATGAGCAAACAGCATGCTTCTTGTGCATCCCAGGGCAAAGACATGTACCTGACCCTGGAGAACGACGTGCTCAGCCTGGTAGACCCCATGGACCGCACCGTGCTGCACTCCCAGCCCATCGTGAGCATCCGCGTGTGGGGCGTGGGCCGCGACAATGGCAGGTGAGTCCCTGACCTTTGCCCCTGCTTCAGCTTCATGCCACAGCATGGTCTTACAACACCTCAGTGAAGGTGAGACCCAGCAGCAAGCTGCTTGGAAGTGTAACCAGTTGGAGCACAGCTCTGTTTCCCCAAACCCCACAGAAGCCCTGTGAAGGACATCCCCCTTGGTCCCCGCAGCTCACACCTTTGTTAGCTCTATGAGTTCTGCTGTTTGGTCTTGGACAGGAATCTAAAGCACCATTCTCAAGAGCTTTGGGAGGTGGTGCGCACCTGCCTTCATTCTCCTGTGTCCCCAGCTCTCCTGGCTGCCTGAACCCCTTTATGTTGCTCTTTCTGCGGTCTTCTCATAACCAACTCTATTTCAATCCATTGAGCCCCAGCCACCTATGATGCCAGCCTAGAGGCACTTTGTTCATGGAAAGTTTACTTGAAAAGATGAGGTCAGACAGCCTTGAATCACAAAATCATGAGTATGTGGACTTTCTGAGATTTGCTTGGCTAAACTTATTAACACTTAAAATGCTTGGTCATATCAAAATGGCATTCCGTGTGTATTTTTGTGAAGTTCTACTAAATGTGTTATTGATGGGTAAATGTGTTATCAACTTTTTGTTCTCCAAGATGGCCTGGAAACAAGGACATCCCGATTTTCAAGGACATATTGTAGCCAATAATTTAAACAACAGTTATTGGAGGCTAGTGTGGTTAACCCTTAAATCATGGTTAGTCTTCGGCAACTCCTGAGTCTGGGAGGAGCTCCTAGTGTTCAGGGCCAAGCTAGGGGATATGCAGGTCTTGTGTTGTTGGAAATGGACCAGAGCATTGCAAAAGCTGGGGCTGTCCCAGGTGACAGGTAGCTCCCCGAGGATCACAGATCCGTTCCTATGCAGTCTAGGTTTATCAGGCTGCATGGTCCTCTCCAAAGGGGGAGGGGCTCCTGCCTTTCTCCATGAATGCTGGGTGTGGAAGTATTTGATTTTCTGATTGTCAGGTTCAGTTCCACATTCTAAACTAGAAAGACTGGCAAAATATCGATGTACAAAAGCATGAAATGTCCTCTGACTGCTGACTAGATGCACCTTACTGGGAACAGAGCGCGTGGTGAGCTGCTTGGTACCAGAGTGATGAGTGCTAAGTGCCGGGTGCCTTGAACATGTGGGCGGGTCCTGCAAATGCATCTGTTGTCACTTGCTGGGCACAGCCCTGCCCTGGACCTGGTGCCCTGACGGCACACAGACACCTTTACAAGGAAACTTTCTGATGACATTGGGCAACCAGGGAAGACATTTAGTCTTGGGGGAAGGCGCTGGACACAAGATGTGCTGGTCCTGCCCAGGTCCCTCACCCCCAAGTTTGTTAAGGCAGGAGCCAAGTGTTGTACAGTCTGATGTGGTTAAGTGAGAGGCTTTTTTATTTTCATTTGTGGATGCTGGGGTTTGAACATACTAGGTGAAGGCTCAAATGCTGAACTCCACCCCACACTTGCTGGTGTATTTTTAAACCTTGGTTGTTTGTAGAGTTAACTGATGAGGATTTTCAGCCCACTCCAGTGCCTTAAAATGAGTCCAAATGCTATGTGTTTGGAAGAGTATTTAAATTCCCAGTTGCAAAAATTATTCAGGTTCCCTAGCCCTGATTTTCTCTCATCTGAGAAAGGACAACCAGGGACCAGGACACACGTATGTGTTGCAGGTGTGTGTGTGTATAGTAATCACCACAGTGGTGGAGAGGCGGGAAATGCTCAGCCAATGTTTGCTCTGAGTTTTTAAAGCAGAATATGCCTAACAGGTGCAGCTGGCTCCACGGCTGCCTTTCCAAAACACCAAGGGCAGAAGCATCAGACCCCAGGGAGGCCCCAAGGACAGTTTCTGATATGACACAGAGGATGAGAGGCTGGTGCAGGCAAGAATGAGACCAGCTTGCCCTACAAAGCAGGACGAGCTCCTCATGCCCACCCCAGGGATGTCAGAGCAAATTAGCAACGTTGCCGTGGCTGCACTTTCAGACACATAGACCGCTTGCCATTCTACAGTGTTGACAAAGCAGCATAATTTAGAAGTACACTCGGGCTGCCCCCGCAGGCTGTGCACCCTCAGCAAGTCTCCGGCTACAGGGCCCTCAAACAGGACCACTTCCAAGCTGTGTATGCGGAGGACATTTGCCAGGGAAGGGTCTGCTTCTCCCCGTCGGTTCCCTTAGTTTTTATGCCCTAAAAAGGACCTTTTCATTTCCTGTTTGAAAAAAAAAAAATCTTCCTTTGCTTTTGATTCTTTTTTTTAATACAGTAATTTACAAGAGCAAATTCAATTTGTAATGCAGCAAAGGAAAGAAGCTTTCACGTTGCATGAATAAAACATAAAAGTGTTTCATTTTGCTAGGGAAAATGAGCCCATTTCGCATTCTCTTTTGTAAGTTCCCTTGCTGAGAAAATGGAATCTCTTAGGGGATTTTTTGATGTGCTTTAAATGAATAAGAAAAGTGTGCATAGTGGCGCTGGGGACAGGAAAGCTCCTCTGTAGGCAGCATACTTCCTTCACTGAGCCATGTCATGTCAGAATCTCAGAGAGGGCTCAGGTTTAGCATTTTATAAAGCATTTCAAGTGGTTCAGGTTTACTCTGAGGAAATTCCTGATGTGGTGAGTGTACAGCGGGTGAGGAGGAGACGTGGCGGGTGCCCTCTATGTGCCCCACATGGCCCAGGCTGAGCTGGAGAAGCCTCTGGCTGGTTCTCTGGTTCTCCAGGGGGCTTCCCTCTGGTTGTCCCTGTCCTCTCCTCACGAGCCCTGTCTGTCTTGACTGCTTGATTGCCTGCCTGGCAGAGCAGGGCTCCTCCTCTCTCAGCCGCACGGCACATCCTTGCCTTCGGGTCCTGGAGATGGACCTTCCATTTGCCAGCGCAGCCCAGACTGACTGCTTCTGTTTGCACTGCCATCCTCAGGGTTCTGAGCCGTATAGCTGGTGTTTAGCACTTGGTGGCCAGGACAGGAGACTGGACTGTCACCACCATCCTCCTGTCTCCCGAGGGGAGTGGCTCGGGGATGAGTGACTGAGAGAGTGACCGGAAATTCCTGAGTGCCATGAGCTGGACTAAGCAGGTGCTCTGAGGTCACCTCTCAATATACAGAGAGAAGGATATGCAGGAGGGTAGTCTGCATAACACAGTTCAAGGTGGTATGCAATGTTGTGAGGACAGTGCTTCGGCTCTGATGTATAATATTTTAATGCCCTGGGAAGTTATAGCCTCTTATCTGGGGCTCGATCCCAGCTGACAGCATGGAGCATGGTTCTCCATCCTGCCAGGCTCACACATATGTTTTGGGAGCTGTGGGGACAGGCTAACACTGCCCTGTCACCTTGCTTCAAAAATACACATCAGCACCTCAGCTGGACTAATCTGCATTGCTTAAAGCCAAATGAACGGAAAAGTCCCAGCCAGCTCTGTACATATCAATACATGGAAATAGGGCCAGGTTTAGCCAAAATTGAGATAATCACTGTTCTTTTAAGGAGCGTCGTCCAGGTGGTGCTGTACACTAAGCCCTTCTGCTTCCCATTAGGAAGGAAAATGGGTGCAGGGGATTGTCAGAGGATTTCAGACCCGATTAGCAGATATTCTCACACAGCTTTTACATCAGTGCAACATATGTCAGGTGAGATATTCATGGATTTCCTTGACAGAAAACAAACAAAGCAAAAGATTCTGGGTTCACCTGGGCTACTGGCTTAAATGAAGCATGGCAGGCCCCTTCCCGCTGGGCTTTTCCTCTCTGCAGTATGCGTGGAACCCTCAAAGGGAGCTCCATCCAGGCTTGACCGGAAGCCTTCCTGCACTAGCCTGCTTTTTGTTACTGTAACAACATACTAGAGATAATCAACTTTAA